AATGCTCCAGAAATGTTAGCTCACTCCTCCTAACTCCAAATAAAGACCAAACTAAATGGTAGAAACTGTAATTTATTGAAAATTTCAGAGGTGTATAAAAACTATAAGGGTTGGAATAGTTTGAACTCATGCTGGAGGAGGAACATGAACCACTCTAAACAAATGAGCAGGATTTGGCTAAGTAAAGATGAGAAACTTACAGATCAGAGAAGCCATGTGTGCAGAAATGTGAAGGTGGGGGTGTACAATTTGTCTCTCAGAGTGACCTAATGTACTCTTCAAGACTCTTTGACCATATTTGTGCAAATTTCAGATGATGAAGATCCTAAATTTCATGCTGCTTCTCTAACTTCCAAAGATGATGATACAGTTGGGTGGTGGTGAGAGGCGGGCTTTCTTACTAAAGAAGTTTTTCACTGGCAAAGACACCCCTGGAAACTCACTGTTCATCGAAGATTGGTCTGGGGGAGGTGCAAAGAATGGTTTGGACATGAAAAGGACATTTAAGAGATTAAACAATTGTGAGTGCTGAAACAAAATTTTAAAATACTGAAACTTCTAGAGCACCTGGGTGGCTCAGTCAGTTAAGCAGCCAACTCTTGATTTCGGCTCAGGTCACAATTTCAGTTTGTGAGTTTGAGCCCTTCACCAGGCTCTGCACTGTGAGAGCTTCAGATCCTTGGTCTCCCTCTCTCTGCCCCTGCCCCCCCCCTTCTCTCTCAAAAATAAATAAGCGCTAAAATTAAAAAAAAAATAAAAATAAAACTTCTTATTTAAATATGAGGGCAAAATACATTTCCACAGTATACTAGAATAGTATGTACTCTGTCATGAGCAAGAACTTGTTTTCAGTTGTGGTTCTTCCCCTTTTTGCTGAAGGGCTGTGCATATTTTGCTTAACTTCTCTGAGCGTCAGCTTTTTCATATATTAAAGATCTCTAGGGGTGCCTGGGTGGCTGGGTCAGTTAAGCATCCGACTCTTGATCTCAGCTCAGGTCTTGATCTCAGGGTCATGAGTTCAAGCCTCATGTTGGGCTCTGCACTGGTGTGAAGTCTACTTTTAAAAATAAATAAATAAACAAATATCTAATAAAGTCTTACCTCAAAAGGATGATGTGAAAATAGAATGAAGTATCTATTGCAGGTAAGATGCCTAATATTGTGTCTACAGTTTCCTCTTATATGGTCTTGGATAAGGCAGAAATTCTTGTAGCACCTCTAGTTCCCATAGCATTAGGAGAAACAGCTGGTCCATATAGCAGTAATATATTTTAGATATAAATATGAATGTATTAACAATAATATTACTCACTCCAACAGCAAGTTTACAGGGATAAATTATTACGTGACCAGGTAATAATTCTAGCCTATTATATGTTGTTGTGATTATGTTTCTGAACTCAGAGATCTGAAAGAGAAAGAGAGAGAAAGAGAGATGAGAGAAAGATGAGAGAGAGAGAGAAATACATCAGTTGATGTATCAGGTGATAAGGAGGAACTCATTCTTTCATGGATTGAATGGAACCTCACCTCAAGTTACATTTCAAATGGTGCATTGCACCTGCTCATTCATCAAGCTGCCAAAGGCTTGCTTTGCTGCCCCGTTTTTTTTTTCTTTTAAAATTCACATCCTTGCACTGTCTTGAGTTATTTACCTCCATAATGAAAGTAACATAGTAAACCTTGTTTAAATAAAAAATAGCTCCTAATATATCAAGTGTAGATGGATCTCACCAAAAGGTGAGATCTCACCGCTTACAACATTAGTTTCCAAATATTGCAAGCAACTCTATAGCTCCCTTTCATGTCTGACCAATGTTATTTTGTAACTGAATTGATTCCATTATGTCTTAAAATAAAAACAATTATACAGACCAATATAATTCTCTTTGGGGAGCTATCAGGATATTTTCCTTTATTCTGTGCAGAACAGAGTAAGAGAAAGCCAGCTTTAAACCTACGGGACTCCAGAACTTCAGTTTCTGCCCTCCTCCCATACCCAGCACACTGCTATACCACTAGAAATCACTAACCATTTGCAAGATATGACCTAGAAGATGGTAACACTGTTCAAGGACTGGGGAAGGAAAAAAGGGAAGGAAAAGGAAGTATGCCGTAAAACACAGCAAACATGTGATTAACAGCTATTTTCTGAAGCAAGCCTTCATGGGGGATCGGAGCTGTGTCACTCTGTTTCAATTCTGCAGATCACACAGGGCTAAATTGGAAGACGCATGAAGGAAGATACGACGAGAAGGATTAAAGGAAGTCCAAAATCCATGCTAAGAATATGAGGTGAATATCCTCACTCCTTATACACTCCTCAGCTTTACCCTCCCCTTCCATGGGAGGAGGATAGATTACTAAGACACAGAAAAGTCCTCGGAACAACTCCGTATTTGTTCTCAGTTGCTGCTGTTGTTTTTGATAGGTATTCCCCGCCCCCCCCCTTCTTTGGAAGAAAAGGGAGGAGTTGACAGAACACCCACTTACCCTTTAAGAAGTCCCTTTAATGAAACCAACATGCTGCATGCCTTTAAAAAAGCTTTCAAAAAATAGAGAAGGGATGTAGGTCTTGGAGTGGGAAACTGAGTCTCTCAAAATAATACCTCTGAGGAGCATACAGGTTTGGGCTTGAAAGCCTAGCTTCCATACTTCTAGTTGGCCTCCTAATAAACAGATAGATTCTCAAAGTATTTTCTATTCAGTATCACACCCCTAGTTCCCAAACAACCATAATGCAGAGGACAGATGGAAAGTGGGGGAAAGAATGCAATGATATTGCCCTCCCCCACCCCAACATGTGCTCAAAGAAGTGCATTTCCTCTGAAAGTTCCCCTTCAAGCAGCCTACACCCCCTGTGGGCCATTCCGTAGAATCCTTTATCTCTGCCCCTTCCTCCAAATGCTCGGGGGATTTGATCCACCTCCAAATTACACAATCCCCCACCTCTACTTGAAATACACAAACCATTTCTTCACAGGCCTTTGTAACACACAGCCTGATAAAATCACTTAAAAAGAAACAGGCAGATGACCCAGAGGAGTTAGCAAGGTCAGGGCACTCCCCGGTGAGGGCGTGAAAGGGTGGGAGGTGCTGAGGTCAGGGTTAAATGACACCGCGAAATGAAGGCCCCTGCCCTGCAGTCTCCTTCCTTCATCTATAGAAGGAGTCTCCAGTGAGCTCCTGCGTCTAGAAGCCTGCCCCTTCGGAGCCACCGAAGAGGCCATGGAAGCGTATTTCAAAAGCCGCATCTAAAGCAGCCCACTTTAAAGCGCCAAGAAAAGCCTGGCTGATGACCAGAATTGCTCCAAATCACTTGCTGCCATTCTCTTGCAGCCTCATCAGCGCTTCCCTTCTTTCCTCCGCGTCTCCTTCCCCTTTGGAGTGCAGGTGCTCTAGGACGTTTGGGGTGCACCCCAGGCGTCTTTGGGTGGCGGGAGCAGCTCTCAACCAAGGCCAGAATCGGATGCCTCAGCGTTCCGTCTCCCCACCCCACTGTCCGCCGGCCGCTCAGCGGCCCCTCAAGGCATAACCTGGGACCTCTGCGGCCCTGGGTGCGCTTCCTGCGCGGGGCCCTGGGGATCTCGGGGCGCGTGGCCGCGGGACGCCAGCAGCCTCCGCAGCGCTGCAGCCTCCGCCGAGCCGCAGCAGGGGCTGCGGCAGCGGGACTGCCACGCCGCGCTCCCCGCTCCGCCCGCCCGCGGGGCTCTGCCCGCCTCTCCCCTTTGTGTCCGCAGCGCTGCGGGGCTGAGCCGAGCGAACCGCTGCGCCCGCGCCAACCCCGAGCCCCGGGCAGGCGGAGCGCGGAGGGGAAGAGGGGGCAGGGAGAAGGAGAGAGAAGGGCCCCCAGAAGGGCACAGCGCTTCATCAATAATGCAGAGGCGTCTGGACCTCCCTGCAATACGTTTTCCAGCTAAACGCCACCAACTGGAGCGCTTCCTGGCACGTCCCACGCGTGTGGTTTTTGTGTGTGAAAAATGGGACGCACCTTGTTCATTCATCCATCCTCTCTCTCTTCCTCTCTCCCTCAAGATAAAGTCCCCCCGTCTTAGCTGTAAACCGCCACCCTTCTCCTGATCAGTACTACACGTCTGGGCAAAAGCTGCAGGTTGGAAACGCAGGTCCTGAAAGACTTCACTGCCTACATATCAGTAAGAGTTCATCAGAATTCATCCAGTAACGCGTGTTTTCAAGCCCTCGTTCTCATCTTTGTTAGAGAATGCATTCAAAGTTTGGAAGCTCAGGTGGCCTTGGAGCTGCTGGTTTCTGCGCCTCAGTCCACATTTATAACCACAGTACGTTCAGAGACACCGAGATTCTGCGGGGAAGTTGCCCAGCACCAGCCCCGCAGGCCCCTGATGCTCCGCGCATCCTTGGAAGCAGTTCCCCTGAGCGTCCCCAGGAAGCCCAAATGCGGCACAGAACCTCCTCAAACAAGGGGTAACCCAGCCACACACACCAGACACAAATCCCGAAACTTCTTCGTGAAGCAGGGATAGCCCACCCGGAACGGACACTCAGAACAACTTGCAAGGAAAAACAACAAAACAAAGCAAAGCAAACATCGCACCCCTGCAGGGAAACTTGTTGAATCCCGCCCGAGCGTTGAGCTGCAATTTCCGATTTAGCCTGAAGGTTTTTGATTCCACCCCCCAAATACCCTAGTGCACCAGTCACAATTTCTGGACAAACTGCACAGTCCTGTCCGCACCCATTCTGCACTCCAGCAACCACCGGTGGAAAACCGAGTGTGTCCCTTTTGCCAATTCTAAAGCCGGCTGTCACTTCCTTTGCAATCATTCGGGAGACTCACCCTTCGATAAGACTGTTCAGAAATCTAGCTGCTCCGCGGTGCAGGCGCAGCCCTCCAACTTTGCCGTGCACGGAGACCTTCCCGAGTTTAAAGCGAGCAAAAGCTGCCTGGGACTTTTTAATGTGAGAGTGGGGAAATTAGGGGGAGAGTAAAGTCGGGTTTCTTCTCGGTATCAGCACCCTGGAAAAATCCAATCCTTCTTCAGTAGAGAATTCTTTGAAACCCGTTATCTGTATTACTATTAATGCGCAGAGCAGACGGCATAGCATGCAAATAGGTCCAAGTGTGCGCTTCTATTGGTGGCTGCGGAGGCCCCTGGGTCCTACTGCATCCGGCTCGAAAGTACACAGCAACACTACGCACGCAGCTTTGGAGGCGCGGAGGGAAAAATGGATTTAATTGATTCGTTACCTCTGGTATTGTAATGCCTGCTGCGATGTCTAACCGAGGGGGGGGGACCCTCACATTTAAACTCCTGTCATGTGATCTATCATTTCATATTTGCTTTTAATTGTCTGTGTAGAGTGGCTTTGAAAATACAAAGGGTTTTAAAAGAACATTTTCTGAGGAAAATTCACAGAGACTTTTGGCAGAAAAAACCTCTTTTCTGCTATTATGCGTTATTTGGATATAAATCCAGGAAGTGTTTATAGAGTCAGATGCTTCTGCACTTGACTTATTTAAAATAACAATTTTATTCCTGAAGATGCATGCCTATTCCAAATAAAATAACTTATTAAAAGGGTAGAAGCTAAAATATGAATGTGCTGATTATAAAACATGGGATATAGTCTTTAAATGGTACTGAAAACGCATCAGTGATAATGCCATGGGCATCATTTTACAGAATAAATTCAGAAATATTTTGTTTGTGAATATTCACACGGAAATATAAGCCAACGAAAAGATGTTGATAATGTCGCAAGATTTCAAGCACTTACTAGTAATTACCACATTTTCTTTTCACAGTATCTTTTTTAGCAAGCCCAATACTAATGCAAACAGACACAAGATTTAAAGTGAGGCAGGCCTCTGATGACCGGTGATTTGAAATACTGCAACATTGAGGAAAAACATTTCAGCACCTCCCCATTAAAGGTATCTACCTTAAAAGTTAGAATATTAATAGCTCAGTCTTTACATGTGAGCTTAAAGCCTTTGAGCATGGTTTCCCCTATACCTTTAATTTTGTGGAGGAAAAGAGAAATTCTCATATAAACTGAAATGACACAGTCTCCACCAAGTTCCATTTAAGATATTTGCTGCTATTGCATCTTGGGAAATAACATGATTTTTTGGTGTGTGTTTGAGATGTAAATAGTAATGTCAATTTAATTAGAAAATTACCATGGGTATAATTTATAGCTGAATGCTAAGTGATACACCGAGTAAGGTCAGCAACAACCAACTCATAAATTCACCATCCATGTGTACAGTAAATAAACGAAAACACTAAAGGCAAAAATACAGCAGAATTGAGGTCCCATTCCAAATCTAAGTGTAGCATTTGAATTTATGTAGTGTGTGTTACAATCCTTCTTCATTTCCATGACTCCTTCCCCTTCCAGCCCCTTCCCTTCCCCCATCAGTAACCCTTGACAACAGAAGTGTTACTTTGAGTCCAGGTTGCCTTTGCTGCTTTCCAGACCTAACTTAGAGATTACATTCTTGTAGGATACAGACTTAACTCTTACATGACTGGGGTGTAAAAGAAGAAGAGTTGCCTTCAGGGTTAGAAAATCCAGCATTCTTCTGTGTGTTTCAGAATTTTTCACCAAATGTATATCTTTGAAACGCCCATGACCACTAATTTGGAGTGAAAAGACATGATCAATTGTCATTACAGCAGAGTCAATTTGCTCCATTTCTCCACTGCTATTGTGTTTCTGGAACAGCCTTTTGGAATGTCTTTTATTCAGAGTGATTACAATCACTTTAGGCTAGGTTCAGAATTTTTCCAATTACAATAAAGTTAACATAAAAGTATCAAGATATTATTATATTCAGTGTAAGACTATGAAGGACTCATTGTAAAAGGAAAAAAAAATAGAAGCTGTGATTTGGTATAGTGAGGAAAGGATAATGACCATGCAAAGTTGAATGGAGAAGACTGATAATTCAATTCTTTTTCAAACAAGTGTATTATTGGTCTTTCAGCTTCCTGCTACAAGAACACTTGACAAAATAATCATTTGCAGTCTAAGTGCAAAGTGAAAGTTGTGCATTTAATGAATATCTTTTTAGAGCCGAGAGAAGATGTGATTTTTTTTCAGGCAGAGTTTGTATAAAATTAATGCAATTTATCTATGATATAATTTAATAGAAAATTTGAATAGTGGACAAATATGATAGTGAACAAATAAAAATAAGTAAAAGCCAGCCTATTAACACATTTAGTATATGTTTGTTTGATCAATTTCACTCACTTTCTGCATTAAAGGCCAAGGCAAACATACACCAAGCCAATTAGAATCATAAATTCAACTTTTTCAGTTTTCAAGAAAAAATATATTCCATATCTCTTCAATGAGCTACTTGTGTTTATGCAAATTATGTTCATATATTAGGCGATATATATTATATAATGTATATTATATATACATACTTATAAATATTTAAAGTGTTTTACTTGGACACAGGGGTAAAAATATTATAAATGAGAATATTAATATCATAATAGTTTTTCATCATTCCGAAATCTGTAGAAGTATCCTTCATCTATTCTTTGCTATTTGAAGTATTCTTGGACCCCCTCATTTTGTCAGTACAGTTTTCAAGGACAATATATGCTCTGTCAGAAACTGATTTCCATTATGCCCTTGGATCATGATGACAATGCCTTATTGTGGCTAATGTGAACATCTATAAAGTTGGAAAGGAAAACATACCTGGCATATCCCTGTATTCCATTACTGTAATCAATTTTCTTTCTAAATTTAAATAGGTAAACACGTAATATCATACCATTTGGCGAAACTTAATGAACCCTAATGACATTCAGTTACTATCCAAGCTATTTTTAAAATTCTCTGTGTCTTCAATAATTTTGAAATATGCATAGGTTGAAAAAGTTTTAAAGCCAGAGATATTAATCCATTTGTCTACTTTAAATAGCAAATTTATTCACGCTTGATTTTTGACAGATGAAAAGGAAATTAGCAGACATATAAATTATACTTTGAAAGTAGAAATATAAAATTAAAGATGTGGTCAAATGGGCATTTTTTCTGTTGTAAATCAGTAATGAATGAGTAAACAGTAATATTCATACCAATTACTCATTGGGATACTATGACATATTAAATAATTCACTGAAATATCTTCCAAATACTACAGAAAGTTGCAAAAGATTACACGTAAATACATGGCTTATCAATTAGTGTGGTTGAATTACTAACCCAGGTGAAGAAAGTGCAACTCAAAAGTTACAAATAAATCTTTAAATATAGTTAGTTTGTGGAGAAATTGGAACTCAAAATGGTGAGCTAAACTTGAACGGAAGAGATGAGAATTTCATGGTATAGTGATTCTGGTAAGATGATCACCATGAGTGGAATGCTCCTGATATTTAGAATTCTAGTAAAAATTGGCAAGGAGAAGAGGCATGGAGGAAGCTGTTTTACTCTATATCAAACAGGATTGTAAAGAAAGCAAGATAAAAGTTGACAATAAAAATGTAAAAGTGAAATACTTGGGCAAAAGATAAAAGAACAAACAGCCAAACAAAAGAAAAACGGAGTACACATCTGTTACAGAACATGGAGATTAGGGAAAGAATTAATAAACAGTTTTAATTCAAAACTAAGTTCTTAAGAATATTGCTGCATATTCATCCTAGAGAATCTGTGAATAAAAACTACAAGTATTTTTGCGTGAAAGAGACAAAAAATGTAAATGTGCTACAAATGTTTATAAAATGTGACATAATGTGTAGTTACACTTAACAAAGGGATGCGGATATAAACATACAAAAATACTATGTAACCACTATTTCCAATATGGGGCTAAACATACAATTGATTTCCTGTATGCTTATTATATCAAGGCTAACCGTCAGATCTTGTGGTTTGCCTTTCAAAAGACATGAACTGGTTATACTATTTAGAGGGAACCCTGTATACTAACCAAATTCTAAATATTTAAAAGCCAGTAGTTAGTCTATTTTAAGGACTCCTTTAGGACTTGATTACAAAGCATACTAAAACAAGCAATTATTTTAAACTATGTTTTTATTCATAAGCCATAATTCTTAGGTGGTTAAATTCAATCAAATGTTATTTGCTTTTGTCCTAGAGCAACGTCTGCTTGTATAAAAGTAATATTAAAGTTGAGTCACTTGCTCATTTAGTGAATATTAAATCTACTTTTCATATGGTACTGTGTTGGGTACATGAAAGTAGATGAAGGTACAACAGAAATTAAGAGCAATTATTATTTTTATGTAAAAGCAAAGAGAAAAGAATATGATAGCATCATTTAGTAAGAAGGGAGAGATTGCAGAATATCAATTTTAATATTAAATAATAGTAATGTTAAATATAGTAGTTCATATTTCCTATCCTGGAGGATAGTAACAGAAAATCTACTAACAAATAACTAATACAACTAAGTCTTTCTTCATTACTTTTAAGTAACTTGCCCTGCCATTTCTCCCAGAATGCTACATTTCTTCAGCAGTGTTTAAGTGTAATCAGCATGCACTGTGTTTAGAAGCAGAAAACTAAATTTTAAAGGTTTTTAGCTTAAATATGCATACAATACTTTGACCCAAAGAGTCACTTTTCATGTTGGTTTCTTTTCTTAGTAAATACATCTTATTCTTCAATTTTATGACTCACTTGTTAAATAATAGCTTCCTAAGATTACATAATAGATCGATGGATGGATATATAGTTAATATGGATAGATGACAGCATTAGAGAAATAATTGAGTGTAGATTAAGAGTAGATGTTCGCTCTGGTATTGATGGTGGCAATGACTATGATGATTTTGGTAATATAACTGCATTAAATATAATGGTAAAAGAACCCTACATTTTCATAAATGTATATAATTTGAAACTGAGAGCTTTTAAAATGGAACATGGGTTTTGAAGGGCAAGAAGTCCTAATAATTCTGACAGCAAGCAAATTAATATAAAAACTTAAAAGAATAAGAATAACAAATTTTTAAAATAAAGGTTGGCTCAGACTGGGTCACATAGATGGCTCAGTCCATTGAGTGGTTGAGCATCAGACTTTGAATTTGGCTCAGGTCATGATTTCATGGTTCATGAGTTCAAGTTCCACATCAGTCTCACTGCTGTCAGCATAGAGCCCACGTTAGATCCTTTGTCCCTCTCTCTGCCCCTCTCCCACTCACACACACTCTCTCTCTCTTTCTCCCTTTCTCTCTCCTTTTTTTAGGAAAAAAAAAAAGATTGGCTCGGACTGAAAAAAAATAGTTTGGGAAAGCCAACATTTGGAAATGTGACTTAGAGAATAAGATAAATCAGCCATACCCTAGTTAATGAATAGATAGAAATTGGGAACTACTTGGATCCTATGTTTTCTTTGAAAAATTGAGGGGAAACATTTCCAAATTTGAAGGAGATATGATATTCATGATTAAGAAGAGATCAAACATATTAAAAATCATGAATATCTGTGTGTTATGAATATAGGTGACTTTTCTTTTTTCTGTTTTTGGTTTGTTTGATGTTTAAAAAGGCACATATACTAGTTTTTTAAAGAAATAAATTAAAAAGTAAATATTAATATGAAATCAAATAAACACATAATTCAGTTTTTCTCTTATTATTTCTGTACCAGTCTTTTTAACCCCAGATTGCTACTTTGTCATATACAAATAAAATCTTATTATGTGATAATGCATGTATGATAGGGTTTTGTAAATTCCACATTTTAAAAATAATGCTAGGGGTGCCTGGATAGGTCAGGTGGTTGAACATCCAACTCTTGATTTCGGCTCAGGTAATAGTCTCAGGGTCGTGGGATTGAGCCCCACATCAGGCTCTGCACTGAGCATGGAGCCTGCTTAAGATTCCCTCTCTCTCCTTCTGTCCCTCTCCACTACTCTCTCTCTCTCTCTAAAATAAAAAAATAAATAAAATTAATGTTAATTGATATTAGAACACCTAGCTATTTTAACTTCATTCAACTATTTAGTAGCAAAAAAATGACATATCCATTTTGTCAGTTGCAAATATGACTGCCAATGCTCTTTAATAATTTTCTAAATATTTATTTTTGAGAAAAGGAGAGAGCGAGCAGGGGAGGTGCAGAGAGAGGGGAGACAGGGGATCCAGAGCGGGCTCAACGCTGATAGCAGCGAGTCCAATGTGGAGCTGAAACTCGTGAACCATGAGATCATCACCTGAGCCAAAGTTGGACACTCAACCTACTGAGTCACCCAAGTGCCCTTCTTTATTTAAAAAAAAAAAAAAAAAAAAATTTAAGGAGATACAAAAATATATCCCTTGTCTAAAATAAGGAAAAGGAGAGAGGGCTCAGTCAGTTAAGCATCCGACTTCGGCTCAGGTCATGATTTCATGGTCTGTGAGTTCGAGCCCCACATTGAGCTCTGTGCTGACAGCTCAGAGCCTGGAGCCTGCTTCAGATTCTGTGTCTCCCTCTCTCTCTGCCCCTCCCCCACTCGTGCTCTGTCTCTCTCTCTTTCTCTCTGTCAAAAATAAACATTAAAAGAAATTTTTTAATAAAATAAAAAATAAAATAAGGAAAATCGACAAAAAAACAGTAAATAATAAGAAATTGCCTGGACATTTTTCAAGAATGAGCTTATTAAAATATCCTGTTAACAATTAGGGACTTTTAAGGCACAGAAGAGAGGGCATGGGTTTATTAAGAAGGAGTCATATGTGGCAAAACTTATTTTTTTTATATTTCTTAAGTTAGACAGCTTTTAGATCATGAGATTGCTTTATAAGCAGGTTATCTTGATTCCAGATAAGCATTTGACAAGGGGTTTGTCATTTCATTGTATGCAAAGTAGAGAAAAACTGGCTGGTTGATAGTACGTTTAGGTGGATTTGTAGCTAATTAAGTAAGTGGACTTCCTGTGTTGATTAGTCAATGTTAACCTTGGGGGCACCTCAAATGTCCTGCTACAACCTTGTGTACTTGATCCTGTGAGGTGTAACATATTATCAGTGAAGAGATCTTCATCAAATACAATGCTGAAGTATAGCTGAGAGGGAGAGCCAACATCCTGAAAAACTGAATATGAAAATGGACATTCAAAATTTGCAAGTAGGTAAACACATAAAAGCTGAAATAGAAGATTGAGGAAAGAGTATTTGAAAATTAAGTTGAGATCAATGAGAAATCACTTATGGGATTGAGCCAACCACAAGCTCAATACAAGCTACCGGTGTTATGTCAGAGCTAATAAAACAATCTGAAGAGAGAGAGAGAGAGAGAGAGAGAGAGAGAGAGAGAGAGAGAGAGAGAGAGAAAGAAAGAAAGAAAGAAAGAGAAAGAAAGATGGATCAGAGAACAGTTTATAAACCATCAGTGATAGATCTAACATTAGCATAAGGAAAAAAATAGAAAAATAAAAATACTTAAACCAGGAATGGATTTTTAGAAAATACAATTGCTGACTTATATTTGTAAAGCTATCATAAAGAAGAGATAATAAGACACACAAAAATGTTATTATGTCACTCTTTGACTATAAAATTCTATGACTCTTATTTCTATAAAAAAGATATTGGCCAATAGACATTCATATATTGAATATAATATGAAAAAGATAGTGGCCATAGACATTCATATACTGAATATAATATGAACTTTGAACCTACAACATAGTCTTCAGATTCCAGCAAGGGTTACAAAGTAATAACGTGTATTAGAACAAAGGATGTTTGTTTGAATTGAGGTGAGTCACTGTGATCCATTGATGAGAACTTCTTAATTCCAAAGAGCATGATATGTGTTAATTATCATGTTAACTGTATCATTCAACAAAAACATGCAAAAGAAGCTAACCATATTCTTTTGCCAGAAAGTTAATGATGATGGCATGAATTATGATAAAACTCTGTAAATTCTTGGCACAAAATGATAATTCTAAGAAGATTTATTTTTAAAAAAATAAAGATAGTGTTTCACTGAGATAATTTAGGCGTACTTTGCCAAATTAAACAAATGATTTATTACTTTCTAGCCAGATAAATGGCTAATTTTTTAAATGTTAGTGTATATTTCTGCACGCACCATTTTTTTGCATACTAGGAAGAAAACTTGTTTGAAAACTTTATTTAATAAACACATTCCATAACTATGGATGTAGAATAAACAAATTAAATTATAGTACATGGAAAAATGTAAAAGATAATCCTATATTGCACATGGCATTTTATGATACAGATATGTCCACCTGGATATTTATCACATGACTTAAGGAACTAAATGCTAAACATCTCTACTGAAACAGAATGGACTCCAAACTTTAAATTATTCCAAAGTGTCAGAACAAATTCAAGGAAGGATAAACAATATAACACACATGCTGAAATACGAGGATGCTAGCCTTAACATAGGGATTGAAACTTTCATTTACAATCATAACTTGAAAATAATTAAATATATGAATCAGAAAAAGAAAACATTACTGATATGTGTAAGAATCATACATTTATTAAGAAAAATGAACCAAATGGTTAAAGTGAATGAAGATGGGATAAATACCATTTGTTATAAAACTGTTTATCAAAAACACAGAAGAACAGCTCACTCAGCAGAATATCTGGTGAAAAAACTTAAGAATGAGTAATATTTTAAAATTTTAGTTCACTACGTAATTTTTAAAAGTTGTTCATTTATTTATTTTGAGAGAGACAGAGAGAGAGAATCCCAAACAGTCTCCACACTGCCAAAGCATAGCCTGACATGGGGCTCAAACTCATGAAGCCGTGGAACATGACCGGAGACAAAATCCAGAATCAGACACCCAACCGACTGAGCCACCCAGGCACCCCTTTACTAAGTAATTTTTTAAAAGAATAGTTAACACATGTTACAACATGAATGGGCACATACATATGTGTTATATGACACAAATACCGTGTGTCTGTGTGTGTGTGTGTGTGTGTGTGTGTGTGTGTGTGTGTGAGAGAGAGAGAGAGAGAGAGAGAGAGAGAGTTAAAGGACACGGTACCCCTACATTGACACCTCTGTATGTTTGAATATCTGGAATCCTTTTGCATGGAAGGGAAGATGATTTTGCTGTGTGTAATCAAGTATATTAATGTTTGACAAATAATCAAGTGTCCCTCTCTGAAGTTCTTCTCCTTTCAAGAAGATCACACATTCCTATGTGAATAGCTATGATCAATGAAATTTTAGCAGAATTTTTAAGAAACAGCACATGACCTACTACATTTTTTGTTCCCATTACTAGATGATGGGTTGTATTTCCAACACAAGCTACTTGGTCCACCTGTGTTCCAGTGATGGTGACAAGGAATAAAGCAACATACGACTCATAAAAGGTACATTGTATGAGTGAAAAAAAAACCTTTATTATGGTAAGCACTTGAAACTTGGGGAGCTTTAGTTATTGTAGCATAATCTAGAAATCCTAACCAATATAGTATGGAATTGAAGAACTTAGCTTCTATTAATCACTTTCTGTATACAGCCATATAGTAACTAGAAACTAGATTCTATGTTTAGGAGTTGACATGTATTGTCCCCATGGTTATATCGGCAAAAAGACAGCAACAGCTCTAAAACAAAAAGAGCCTTAAATATTAGATAGCCTTAAATCTCCTTTTAAGTCCTTTCAAAATTTGAGGTATTTGAAGTTTCCATTTACCAGTTATAGCCTTTTTAGTTAAAGGAAGATATCTTTACTAGAAACAGTAATTTAGGGGCCACAATGATCCTGCTGCCTAATTTGAGTTTATCTTGGATTTGAATTTTCAAACCAGAAGTATAGAAAGCAGAGAAGATAGAAATACATTCCATTGGTTATAAAATTCTAGTAATGTGAGAGTCATCATGTTTTGCTTTTAAATACAGGAAGAGAATCCCACAAATAATTTTATGGACTTTTACTGAATATTTACTTTAAAAGAGTCAAAGATCAAACAAAAAGAGAATTCTTGATATTAAAAATGAAATCAACCTCCTTTAAAATTCACAATTCATATGAAAACCAAATTCTTCAAATTATAGAATTATAGATTGATTAATGTCCCATTAAAAAAAATCACTAAATCCAATCTGTGCAAAACAAGAGGTAATGATAGAGGTAGTATAAAGGATTGAAAACAAATTATAGAGAACCTAAAAGATAATGGATCCATGTACTACAAATAGATAGAGCTCATGAATAATAAATCTTGCCAAAATATAACCATTAATTACTTTGCTTGTATTACAAAATTTAAAACACAGTGTTTATTAGACACAACCAAATAAGTAACTCATATGTCCAAAGAAAGGTAGGTGTTACTGTGAAAGTATATGTTTGATAATTGATTACAAGTTAAAACTTATAGAGAATCATGAGATCATGTGTCTCACAGAAATATAGTATGTGGGAGGGTGCTGTAAAAAATTGATAATAAATTCCATTTCAATGAAGATGATTTATGAGCTAGTATAGAACATAAATAGCACATTGCTTAAATTTGCAAATTTTGAATGACTTGCTTTTTGATTGGGCATATGCATTTTAACAGTAGCTAGGGAAATGTATGTAAATAAAAATACTCTATGACTTTGCCATGATCATCAGGGGAAGCAATGGAGAATCTCTCAGCAAATTTTGGGAACATTTTTCCACAAAGTAAGTAATATTAAGCCTATTATCAACTATAATATTTTAAATTCCATATGCTAAATTATGTTATCTCTCGTTCAAGTTATAGAGCATTCTGAAATGAATCATTGACCCTTAAAACCAATTACTACTCTGGAATCCCACTATGATTAATAGCTTTTGGATCCATCCTGTGGTTTTCCGTAGAGGGAATTCTAAGGAATTCTAAAACACCAAAGGAAGAACCATATTCCCATCTTCTTACATAATCCAGGAAGGATGTAGTTCATACAACATTCTACTTCAGGTTGTTTTCAACATGGTCAACATTACTATAGATCATATGCACAATAATATCATTTTTTCCTACATGGAAAAGGAGCTTTCTAGATCCATGTCTCCTTTCAATCTATTTTAACAAGTAGCCTACTGCACATCTCATTCTTATCAGGAGTTGTGAACTTTCCATGGAAAGCTAAATATTTCATCTGAGAACATTTCATGTTTTCTATTTGCTTCTAAAGGTGTGCATTTTATCTGGAAATCTTCATCAGATGCAACAGACCTTTAATTTAAGCAACAATTGGATATGAAATACTAGATATTATGGCCAGATACATATTTTTTTAATTTTATTTTTTATTTTTAAAAATTTACATCCAAATTAGTCAGCATATAGCGAAACAATGATTTCAGGAGTCAATTCCTTAATGCCCCTTACCCATTTAGCCCATCCCCTCTCCCACAACCCCTCCAGCAACCCTCAGCTTGTTCTCCATATTTATGAGTCTCCTGTTTTGTCCCCCTCCCTGTTTTTATATTATTTTTGTTTCCCTTCCCTTATGTTCATCTGTTTTGTCTCTTAAAGTCCTCATATGAGTGAAGTCATGTGACTTTTGTCTTTCTCTGACTAACTTCACTTCCACGAAATTGCTTTGGTTGGAAAGCCTGAGCATATTTAGTGGGAGGGAGGGAGGTCATTGCCACAGGAAGAATTTAGATTTGCAAAGCTAGTCCAGGACTCCGCTCTTAAGCATGGGGTATGACATTCCTTTTAGAGCTTATGTTAACTTGATGAACCCTTTGTTTTTTTAAAATTAACTATATATAGCAGTTCAATGAACACTATGGACTGCAAAAAAGGAGGAAAAGCAATCTATCCTATTAAGAAGCTTATGAAAATTGTATAGTAAAGTATACTAAAAATACCCCAGAACTACAGGGTGAATAATTAATTATATAGTTAATAAAGTGCAACCTAGGCATAAATGCTATTGGAGACAACAAAAAAGAATCATCTCTGGGAGCTGAGATTAGGCTAGGCAGAAATAAGACCAGTAAAATTTTGTTTAAAACTGCCCACAATACAGAGAAGAAATACAGATTTCTCAACGTGAGGAAAATGTGAACAAATGAAACTTCAAGAAGGAATGATAAAAATGATTAAGGGTATAACTGAAATGATTAATGGACATAGATTAAGACAGTGTCCATTTAATTTGGTAAAAAGACTAATGGGAACTTCAATCACTCGGAAGCATCTGTAGGGTAAAAAAGAGGGGAGAAGGAACAAATTTTAGGTGAGTCAAGAGAAAATAACTAGAAGTAATGGGATGAAATTGAGTCTAGGAAATTTTTGAGTGACTATCATCAGAAAGGAAGCCTTGTTAGGTCTATTAGGCTGAGGAATTGTTTCCTAAGGGACATAGTAAAAAGCCCCTCTGGTTGAGCCATTTATGTAGACCAGACAAAGAAGTGGGTAATGGTATAGGAAACAATTCTATATTCGCAAAATTATGGACATTATGATCTAATAGCTTCTCTCCTGCCAGCACAAAAAGTCTCTAATGCATATAATTCTTTGGCTTCCAGCGTTTGCATTTTCTCATTTTAGGAAAAGCTGATAGAACACTGAACAGGAACCTTAAAAATGGACTTCTTCCATGTATTACTTCAATGGATTTTGTAACTGCATCACTTTCCTGTTTTCATATTATTTACTCTATTAGTGTTGGTGAATTAAAATTCCTTTAGCAAGAAAAAAATTCCAATTTATGGTCTCCAAATAAATGTTGGTTTGCAATACAAGAATCTTAGTGACACATTTCACTAGTTTGCTAACTCATTTAAAACTCAATAAAGATTACTTTTATCCCCTTGGTTTGATCATGTTTTTAAAATATAATCATTACAAAGCTGTAATGGATCTAACATTTAAACAACTGGAAGGGTTAGTATATAAAAGTATTGCCTTTACACACTTTCCCTGAAACTGATGGGCATTACAAGGATTCTGTGATACATGTATTATAAGATTTCTTCAGAATAATTTCATTAACAACATTGTATATTATGGTGTATTCTAGTGTTTTCAATCTAAATCAAAAGGGGAGTGATCTATGCATTTTATGAACATTAACCATAAACCTTCGAAATTGATCATCTAGAATAACATAGTGCTAAATATGCTAGACAAGTAAGACTTTTTTGTCTAAATAATTAGCTACTATATTTTGTCATGAGGATTTGTTTCCTGGAGCACAGAAGGATTTACCAGGCATTAAATTATATATGAAGTAAAATATAACTGAGCTGCTCAGGGGCATCCGAGTGACTCAGTCGGTTAAATGTCAGACTCTTGAAATCAGCTCAGGTCATGATCTCAAAGGTCCGTGGGTGTAAGCCCCGCGTAGGGTTCTGAGCTGACAGTGTGGAGCCTACTTGGGATTCTCTCTCACCCCTTCTTTCTGCCCTTCTCCTGCTTGCCGTCTTTCTCTCTCTCTCTCTAACTAAATAATAATAAAAAAAAACCATTAAAAAAGTTAAAAACAGCAATAAATGAAGAACTGAGCTGCCAAAAGTAGTTGATGATACTTTAGGGTGTTAAAGATTCCGTTATATATTCTCTTATTTAATCTTCGCCATTACCCTCCAAGTAAACCAGCTCAATGAAACTCAATGACTTGCATCACTCATTTGATGCCAGAAAAGGATGCTGATATCATGTCCATAGGCATTAAAACTGGTTATCTTTACACTGCATCATTTGGTCTCTCATAGTAAAATAGGCAATAAATTTTTTTAAACAACCTTTTCATTTTCAGTTGGTGGGATCATCCTTTCTGAGTATGGAGCAACATGGTATAACTAAAGAAACTGACTGGTAAGTCAGAAGTCTGACATTCTACCCTTGGTTCTGTTGCTAACTGTCAGATCTTGGGTAAGTTGCTAAATTGTGTGAGTCTCCATTTCCTCTACCACCACATATTTGGTTACGTAGAGTTTAACAATATTATTCAACTCTAACCTCTGATCAAAAAGTATAATGGCAGTTTTCAAATCTGAAACCATTTAAAAAAACCTCTGTATCTAATTTTATCTTTGCAATTTTGTATTTAATGCTTTCTTTAGTTCTGAAAAGCTATCCAACAAACTTGAAAAATTCCTCATTTGTCCAGCAAAGTAAATTAATTCACCGGATGATAGACATTAATTAATGGGTAAGTAAATTGTAATTTATAATAAACATTAAGCCATTTCTGCAAATATATTGCTAACATTTTTATTTTAAAAATCCATTTAGGGGCGCCTGGGTGGCTCAGTCGGTTAAGCGGCCGACTTCAGCTCAGGTCACGATCTCTCGGTCCGTGGGTTCATGCCCCGCGTCGGGCTCTGGGCTGACCGCTCAGAGCCTGGAGCCTGCTTCCGATTCTGTGTCTCCCTCTCTCTCTGCCCCTCCCCCGTTCATGCTCTGTCTCTCTCTGTCCCAAAAATAAATAAAAAACGTTAAAAAAAATTTAATAAAAAAAATCCATTTAAATTTTCAGGCTTCAGGAATGAGTAAGATCAATATCTATGTATATATTTTTGTTAGGTACTAAAAACGTGAAAGAATCAATGTCAATTTCCCATCAGCTTAGGGATTTCTACTTTTCAAAGACAACAAAGTGATAAGAGTTTGTATTCTTGCTCTCCTCTGCACTTCTTAGACCACTGTCAATTTCCAGACTTGGCACTTTAAGAAGACCATGATAAACTGGGGTATTTGCAGAGAAGAATAGCTCTGGGGGTAAGGAGAGCCAAAATAACATAATATGCTCACAGTATTGAAGAAACCGGGGAAGTTTATACTGCAAAAATAGATTAAAATCATTTGTGATAGCCAACAAGGTACTTTTGTCTTTGCTATGATCAGTATCCTGAGAAAATAATGTATCAGTACAAAGAGGTGCATGATAAGGCAAAGTCAGATTTATTCTGTTTCCCTAGCATGAGGGTACAGACTTGTGCAACAGTATCTACTACACAACAATTCAATATGATATTCATATATTACTGAAAACAACATTTGTTTTTATTTTTAAATGAATTCATCTGAGCAAAAACTAGTGTTTCCTGGAAGAATCATAAATTTATGAAGCTGTCAGGTACTATGGTAGTCTTTGCAGATATAGCATGAAATAAACCTACAGATATCTTGCCCCCATGAGCTTGTATTCTGGTGGTGTGAGACAGATAAATAAGAAAACAAAGAGAGTGCAGGGTAACTACAGACCATGGCGATTGATGTGAAAAAAATACGCAGATGAATGACCAAGAGGAAAAAGGCATCGTACATGGGTGGACAGAGAAAACTGAAGAAGTTACGTGTAAGTGAATATCTTACATATAAAAATAAGTCAGCTATGTATAGAAAGAAAGAGAACTATACAACTCAGGTACGGGGATGAAAGAGGGGAAAGAGTGGATTTAGAGAGCACAGGAGAAAAATAGCAGTAACCAGGAGAGAGAACCAGGCGAGGTGAACAGATGTACATAACTCGGGGAGGAAGAGAGCATGGTGGTGATGGACGGATAGGTGCTTATTATCTTATCAGAGGCAGAAAAAACATGAAGTATGGACTGAGTGAATTATTCCTGATATTTGTGCTGCCTTTAGATGAATGAATCTGAGAATAATATTACATCTTAGATAATTATCTCAGTAATACAGGGATTTTGAGAAATCATTTCCTCCTACTTCTAATATTCAGTATACTCAGGGGCGCCTGGGTGGCTCAGTCGGTTGAGCGTCCAACTTTGGCTCAGATCATGGTCTCACAGTTTGTGACTTCGAGCCTTGCGTCAGGCTCTCTGCTGACAGCTCAGAGCCTGGAATCTGCTTTGGATTCTGTCTCTCTCTCTCTCTCTCTCTCTCTCTCTCTCTCTGCCCTTCCCCCACTCATGCGCTCTGTTTTTCTCTCTCTGTCTGTCTCTCTGTCTCTCTCAAAAATAAATAAACGTTAAAAGAAATTTAAAAAATAATATCCAGTATATTCACAAAACACTGCACACAAATGTTTACAGAAACGTTATTTGTAACTGCCAAACCTTGGAACCCACCATGATGTCTTTTAGTAGGTAAAAGGATAAACTATTATTCATCAAGAGAGGGGACTATTATTCAGCATTAAGAAGAAATGAGCTATCAGGGCACCTGGGTGGCTCAGTTGGTTAAGCGTCTGGCTCTTGGTTTCAGCTCAGATCATAATCTCACAGTTGTGATATCCAGCCCTGTATCAAGCTCTGTTCTGACAGTGCAGAGCCTGCTTGAGATTCTCTCTCTCTCTGTCCCTCCCCCATGCATGCATGCACTCTCTCAAAATAAATAAATACGCTTTTAAGAAAATTAAAAAGAAGAAATGAGCTATCAAGCCATGAAAAGACATGGGAGGAAACTTAAAAATGCACATTACTAAGTGAAAAGAAGTCAATTTGAAAAGGCTACATATTGTATGATTTCAACTATCTGACGTTCTGGAAGGGATGAAACGGTAGGGACAGTAAACAGACCAATGGTTGTCAGGGGTTGGGGGGTTGGGGAAGAGAGAGATGAATAGACAGAGCATAGAGAATTTTTAGGACAGTGAAACTGTATGATCTTACAGTGGTGGCTGCATATCGTTAAATATTTATCAAAACCCATAGACTATAAACCACCAGTAGTGAACCATAAGGTAAACTACAGACTTGGGGTAATTACAATGTGTCCGTATAGGCTGCCGACTGTAACAAATGTACTACTCTGGTGGGGGATGTTGAGTATGCAGAAGGTTACACAGCTGTGGGAGCCAGGACTATGTGGGAAATCTCTGTGCCTTCCTCTCGATTTTGCTGTGAACCTAAAACTGCTCTAAAAATGTAAAGTTTTAAAAAATAAATTATCATAATTTACTTAATTCAATCCTCAAATAATAACATTTAAATATGTGAGAGGCTATGACTGGCATAAGTCTCGACCATTCACTCATCCGTTCACTCATTCGTTCAACATCTATTGGGCACTTCTTATGTGCCAGGAAATCTTCTAAGCAAAGGGAATAAAATAAGTACAAATGCATTTCTTCATCAAGCTTGTATTCTAGTGGAAGAGACATTCAATAGCAAGATCAATGTTATATAGCTGTGGTAGCCATTTTCATATTTCATTCAGATTAATTTTCTGCCTTTCTCTGCCATGCTCTGCAAATCAGGTAATTACATCCTCAGGGCTTCCTTAATCTCAGAATTCCAGGTAAATTTTTCCAGTTGGAAGCATTTATGGAATACTGGAGACTGTGAGGAGAGGAAAAGACAGTATTTCATGCATCTTTCCACTTTTGGGGGATTCTCTCACAGCAGCTGTGTCTTCTACTGCCTCCAAATCTGTAGCTCCTGTTTGACAGCCCCTCAGAGAAATGCAAATTAAATGTAAATTAAAGGAATAATGAGATCCCATTTCACATTCAGATTGACAAAAATTTAATAATCGGACAAAACCAAATGCTATCATGGATGAGAAACCATGAGATGATTTGTACTCTTTTGGTGGGGGTTAAACTTGGTGAAAACATTCTGAAAAACAAATCTGAATTTTATAGACAAGATGAAGGTAAACAAATCTTACTATGCATCAGTTCTAATTACACACTCTAAAGATACATTTGCACATGTGAACCAAGAGAAATATACAGGCATGTCCCTAGCAGTACCGATTTCTTATAATAGAAAAACAATCTGCAATCACCCTAATAAGCATTTTTTAAAAAGAATAAATGTATGAATAAATGAATTTTGTTCATATACATTCATGAAATATTGTATCAAAGTATAAATTAATGAATTAGAGATTTTAACATTAACATGGATAAAATTTTTAAGTGCACTTTGAATGAAGGAAACCAATCATAATATATCACAGAATACATACATGCACACACATACAGTCTAATTCCATCCATATAATGTTTAATAAGTGAACAACTAAATATTTTACAGAATTATATAATTAAACAGCAATGTAAACTACATATTTAAAAAAAACACAAGACAACGGTAAAAAGAAAACACATGGTAGAATTTGGTTTGGGGGGTGAAGACAGAAGAGGAATTTAATGATGGGCTCTCCGGCATTTACAAAGTAGTTGGTGATCTTCTCTCTCTAAGATGATTAATGGGTACCTGAAGGTTTATCTTTGCTATTCTTTCTCTCTTACTTATATCTTATCTAAATATTATTTTGTATTTTTGTATTTCTTCATAATTAACTAAAGCAGAGCTTTATTATTATTAGTGCCATGATATTATAATCAGTATTCATGATAATGTTTATGAATGATACTATATGGTACATGAAACACATTTCAGAAATATAAGAAGAAATATATAGAGTATATAGGCAATGCACAAGTTTGATATACCAGAGGCTGACGAACCATGGAAGCCACCTAGCAGAGGAAATACTAATTATCATGGACATTTCTCTGTTCTGTCATTCTCATGAAAGCGGTTATTATTGGTTAAAGAATTCCACTTGTCCATTTAATGTTAAGTAGACCCATATATACACGGAAGGACTTTGGATAAGAATGAATATCACAATCACAAGTTATTTTCCTGCAAGGATTCTTTTTTTTTTCCCAAACAGAATTACAAATAAAGTATTTTTGTAAGGGTTTGAATCCCCAGGGAATAATACATCAATAAGATGAATCCACTTGTTATCACATATGTCTGCTTTTACAATGCAATGTATTCCTGTAAACCACACCTTCAGTTACATTTTCTTTGGCATAAAATGGACAGTCCACTAATATTAACTTACATGTTTCAAGACATTTTGGCATTACTGACAAAATAATAATTAAAAAAAAACCATATGTCAACTTTGACTTACTTGACCTTTGCTAAATATTGGCTTCTTTGCTATGAAAGCATGCATTTAGAGAGAATAGCAACTCTTTGAAGGCAAAACCTTCCCCAACACCAGAGAAGATGAAATTTCTCTATTCTATACCATTTGCCCCAACCAAAGTATTCGTCGTTAGAATCTAGAACTTACCCACATGTGCACGGAGGATGCCAAAACCGTAGCATATCCAAGTGTAAGCAGGATAAAAGGTCTGACTTGGTAGAACCATCAAAGTTAGCTCTCTGGGAAACTTAATTATGGATGGGGATGTAATGATCTGGTGCAGGCAACATGTGTCACAGTTAAAGTCAAGAGGACAAGCTTGACACAGGAAAGGAAAGACAGGTGGAGAAAAAGAAAGCTTCACATAAAAAGTGACAAAATGAAATTAGGTGAGTACCTGGGAAGTTTCCCTGAGAATGCTCACCTTTACCTCTGTGGAACGTAAAATAGCGCCAGGTTTTGACTTGTTCCTTTACTGATGTTCATCTTGATTGTTTAATTAAGGTTGTGCCTGCCAGGCTTCTCAACTGTAAAGTTACTCCTTTCTCTTTTGTAAGTAATAGGATTTTGTTAGGAGATAGTTTGAAATTATGTAAATAATTACAGATGTCAACATGAATGTGTACAAGCATGTCTCCGTGATTCTTGGAGTATTTCCTTGCTTCTGGGAAATAAGATCTGTTAGTCTGATCTTACATGTTCCTTGTCCCAGCCATAAAAATCAATCTTTTCTTCAAAGAGGCTCCCATTCTCACGTAATGCATGCATAGAGGTAGATGTTTGTGTGTTCCTCTGTGTGTAAATATATATAGAGAGAGAAATGAATCCTCTTGTATGTAACAAATCTCCCTTAATTTCTACTGCCCTACCCCCCATCTCTGCAGATGCTGTCATCACCTTGAGAGTTTTCTGACACCCCACACCAGACCACAGTGCCATACACAAGTCCTGATGGACCCCAACACTCTGTGTCCAAATAATCATATTAATTCCTTCAGAAATCTTCACATTTTATATTAGGTATAAAAGATGCTTCTCACCTGAATTGATTGCCTAGGGGGTGGTATAAAACCCAGGAGAGGTATTTTCAGACTATCATCTAGGTTTCATTATCTTCCTGACTGTTAGGTTTTTCATATTCTTAGAAGGACCAAACTTCCTGTGTAGGATTATGATCTCTGCCAAGCTGAGGGAACATGTGCTTTCTTTTATTGGTTGCAGATGACTGACTTCATAAGGAAGTATTGGGAAAGGGCTTGCAAACTTCCAATTACCAGATATGAAAATTCTTATGAATGTAAGTTTCATAGTTTCCTTTAAACTAGGGAGTCTTACTCATTTCCCTCACTGAATGGATTAGTACACGCTGTGGGAATCTTATAGTCAAATCGGCAAGAAAGAAAATGGAAGAAGGGAAGCCGAATTGCACCTTCTGTGATTAAGGTACTTAATGCTTAAAGGGTTTTTTTTTTCCTTGTATTTGAAGGATGGAGAGGAAATAGTGAAGTGGAAGTAAGAAAACTAGCAATTTTAACATTTTAGGCTCAGAGATATTTTAGGGCTTCTAGAAGTCAATATGCTTATTTTGTAAAATTGTATTTTGACTCATTAAAAGTTGAAGCTCATCGTGGAAGTTACCAGCCCATGCACAAGGAAATTATGGGAGAAGGGAGTACAAATCATTATCAAGGCCATAAATTAAGAGAGGTTATTCAGGCTGTGTGGGATAGCAGTCCACGGAAATGCAAAATCTCTTTAAGAGACACATCAGAAATCACATTTTATCTTGGCATCGCAAAGACCTCATTTGACTGACACATAATGGGCATAGTGTAATAGTAACTGACTGTAATGGTCATACTATCGCTGATGGGAATCTCTGGCACGTTGTGAAATGGGCAAGATTCATCCATATATGTACCACAGTGAATATATGAGTGGAAGTATTTTCAGTCATAGAATTCAGTGACATGGCCCACAATGACATGGACCTTGCAGCACTGGATAATGTTAGCTAAGTTCTCTACATTGTGATGGGCCCTTAACTTCCTGTGGGGATGTGTGTTTGTGTGTGTGCGCGCACGTGTGTGTTTATGACCCTTAGCTACCTAGCACACATCCTCCTAGAGTCATAGCCACCAATGTCAAGGATATTCCAATGAGCATATCTGGCATGAGCCACAGTGGTTGGAAGGAAATATGTCATAGCATTGCTTCAGAAAAAAAATTCAACTTATACATAGGCAAAGCCACATATCCCTTAGATAAGTGTTATCCTTCTGGTCTGGGTATAGCATTAAACTTTTAGTATAAAAATACTCATAGGTTAAATTACCAGAGTTTAACTAATGTAAAGTTAAAAATCAAATCACTCTTTACCTCCTACTTATTCTTTGCTGCTGCACTATTCCCATATCTTCTAGCCCCACTGTCCAGAGGTAGCAGAAACATGTTTCAACTTGCTTCTATATGGTAGAATAGAATTTCTTTCTTTCCTTTTTTTTTTTTTTTTTCTTTCATTGTCAAGTTAACCAGCATATAGTGTAGTCTTGGTTTCAGGGGTAGAAAAGGATTTCTAATGATGAGGATGTATGTCAGTGTCCATTTTCAAATGACTTTTAGTTTCTAAACAAGCCTGGTTATCAGAAGACACTGAATCAAAAAGAAACACTACAAAACTAAATCCCACTGATAATGAGAATTTATTTTAGATACCTCCATCCTGATATGGAAGAGTATATTTGCTCAGTGCTAATGACAAAAAGAGAGAGGAACAGAAATCATAAAACCTTGCTTTAGTAGAAAATAAATGTTTTCTCATTTAGTTGATAAGCAGGCAAAATAAAAAGAACACAATTATACTATTTTTAAAATTTTTTATTGAGCTTCTTTCTAATGAGTTATTTAGTATCTTCGAGATATGTTTGATTTTTCACCTGAATTAATTTGAATAATTGCATTAGATGATGATCCTTAGGTAAGCATTCCATTCACTCATCCATTCATCCATTTATTCAACAATTATTCATTAAGCTGTTCTTTGAATTTTTCCTCTTTAGTTTCTTCTCATCCTATATTGTAGACCATTCAGAAAGATTGAAAAAAGTTAGGAAGTTGTATGTCTTGCAGACCATGGGTTTTAGTTCAAACATTTCCTTATTTAAGAATGAATAGTTCCGAAAAAGAAATAGTAGCTTTATTACAATCGATCTCCTGAGCTGTCTTTGGGTCTGGGCCCATTGCTCTCCTGGGAGAGAATTTTGGCCTGTGGCTCTGCTGAGTTACTGGAAACTGTGATTATAGATGTGAGGCTGTCATTCTGTTCTAGGAGCTGACTTTAGAGCCAAGAAGATTAACTGGTGCCAGAATGAGAAATAAAATTCAAGAACCTTAAAGAAACTCTATAGAGTTACCTGGGATAAAAAGAAAAGTTATTAAACCTCTTTTTTAGGTTCAAGATACAATCGAACCTGCCTTCTCATGCTAGCATCTCCTATTTTTTATTTACATTACATGATTTTTAAAAAAATTTCAATGTTTATTTATTTTTGAGAGAGAGAGAGAGAGAGAGAGACCAAGCATGAGCAGGGGAGGAGCAGAAAGAGAGGGAGACACAGAATCCAAAGCAGGCTCCAGGCTCTGAGCTGTCAGCACAGAGCCTGATGTAGGGGCTTGAGCTCATGAACCGTGAGGTAGTGACCTGAGCCGAAGTTGGATGCCCAACCAACTGAGCCACCCAGGCACCCCCTACATAAGATGAATTTTAAAAAGAAATTAAATAAGGACAAAAAAAAATAAAGTAGATGAATGGCAAGAATATTTTTCCATGCAGAATTACAAATGCAAAAAAGAAACGCTCTAAAGATCCAGTTAAACTTTCACATAAATGAAATCATCTTAACTACATGACTAGAGGAAGCCCTGTGTCTCTGTGTTAAAAAGCCTCAGACCTTCATTCTGGGAGAGCACAGGAGACAGGATGAGGGTTTTCTATTCCTATTAGAACTCTGAGAATTTTAAGCCACAGGCAAGAATTTTTAGCCTACCACTAACTCATTTGGTCTGTATGTTCATACGGTAGTTTACCCCTATGGGTGATGAATGTTTGTGCCACAATTTATTCTGTGGGTGACTTTAGAATAAATAGTTAAATAAAATGAAATGGAATTATAGTAGTCCCACCTAATCCATGAAGGATATGTCCCAAGACTCTGGGTGGATGCCCAAAACCACGGATATTACCAAACCCTATGTGTACTGTGTTTTTTCCTATACATACCTACTTATGATAAAGTTTAATTTACAAATTAGGCACAGAAAGATATTAACAACAATAATTAATTATAAGATAGAATATTTAAAATAGTATACTGTAATGAAAGTTATATTAATGTGATCTCTCTCTCAAAATATCAAATTTTACTGTATTCACCCTTCTTACGATGTTGTGAGATGATAAAATGCCCAGTGATGAGACGAAGTGAGATGAATGACATGGGCTTTGTGACCTAGCATTAGGCTACAATTGACGTCTGATGATAAGTCAAAAGAAAAATCATCTGCTTCCAGATCACGATTGACCACGAATGAGTGAAACTGTGGAAAGCAAAACCTTGCATAAGGAGGGAACCATTGGAACTGTCTACAGACTTTCAAAGAGCAGATTCATGAAAATGGCACACTGTTTATTAGCTCTTGGAAGATGATGTTTGTTTTAATAATTTTGGAATGAGAATGTATTGGAGATGTTGATAAATGCATAGCAGGGTTCAGATGAAAAAAATGAGTCATGGTGTTTGAGAGAAGCTCTCTTTTAGTTGTAAAGTCCTCTAGTCTCAGAATCCTGGTTTTTTTTCTACACAACTCATAATTTTCTATCTGCGTGTATATACTTCTATATCATCCAAAGTTTCATTATAGCTGTCCACTTTCAACTTTGTCCCAACTCTCAATTCTTTTATTCTCTTTGGCTATCTTATTTGAGCTGACATTCTTCTATTCATTGCCTTCTCACCATCCAGCTTCCTTCATCCTGGTTTGGAGGGCTCTCTCCATAATCTACATATTACTGTAATAGATTAATGCTTTACCCATGAAGGATATGGGCATATTTACCTTGAAGATTAATAATAAAAATGTAAGAATTGAAACCTACATAGCTTATACTCAGAAATGACGATCCAGACTACTTATAATTAAGGAGACGTACTATTTGCATACTAGCTATGTGGACTATTTAAACTAATCTCAGTATTCTTTATAATTATGGTTAAAATTGAGAAATCAGGTATAAAAAATAATAGTTCTGAACTAATACATTTTTCAGGGAATTTCAAAATTGATGTCAAGAACAATGAATGGTGTTAAATGTTGATGCATTTTTCATAATAGACTTACATTTATTGAGTATCCCAAATAATTCATAATTAGATGAAGCATAGCTTATTTTTAAAAATAATCACTCTTACAAATAATCAAACTATTAATTTATCTCTGATGTTAAAAATTTATTTCTGAAAATGTCTTAATGATCTGGATATGTAAACAAAATTATAATTATTCTGTAATTCTAAAGCTATTTGCTTTAACCTCTTCAGTAACAGTTGGTATTTTCCAGGAAATCTAAAGGACACATGCTTTTCTGGATTTCTTCCAAAGCAGTACATCAAATGACCTTGATTGTGCTTAGAATTTCAATTTGAAACCCCTAAGCTTGGATGTGAATTCCAGTTTGAGGTTTTCGTGGACTTTCTACTGAGGCAATATGTGTAAAAACACAAAACAAATTGTGGCAAAATAAGCCTCTAAATGACATTTGAAGAGAGTTGAAAAAATAAAATAAAAAATTGGACATTCGGTAACATGATTGAACATTATATATGTGTGTGTGTGTGTGTGTGTGTGTGTGTGTGAGTATACATATATATGTTAAAAATTCTTCCTAATTATAAAATTCCATAAAGATTCTCCTTTAATATTTGATTACATGTAAAGAGATATTGGACTGACATTTTGGTTTTTTTTTTCTGAGTACTCGTAATGCTGTTGTAATACAGAAAATCATCTGAGCTGCTAATTAAAGAAGAGATTACAATAGCTTTTCTTATTTCAAGTTCTTTACTTTCTACATGTTACTAAAAGGCTATTCCTAATAAATCATCTGCATTTTCCACATTGATCCCTTGCAGCTTGCCAGAAAACACAATATAGAAATTAATTTTAAAAAATATTTCACTGGGAGTCTCTGCGATTATTGCTGAAAAAGGCAAGAGACATGAACATTTCAGAATATTTATACCTCCTGAAATTGTAGTGATGAATGAAATTAGAAGATACACATCCATGGAAAGAAAGTGACCTAAGTCTACAAATGGTATAACAAACTGTCTTAGAAAAGAATCTGAATAAATTACTTTAAAGAGTCTATCTTGGTGAATACATGATGGATGAATAAAGTAACGACTTTGAAAATAACTTTCATAACATTAAAAGGATTAAGCAGTTACCTTATAAAACATATTAATTTAAAAATTTTTTAAAAAGTGCTTGAGTAGAATAAATTTTCATATTGTGAAGTATGTAAAGAAAGTATAAATTATTTTCCTTGAAATACTCACAATCTTACTAGGAAAAAATTAAAAATATTAATTGGATTAGAATGAGGTAGTACTCTATTGTTATATGCTAAATTCATATACTCTGTACAATGATGATAGTTAATTTTTACTGAGGGTTTTACCATCTTTATCACAGAAACCCTATGACATAGGCTCTCTTCTCATTCCTCATTATGTCTATGAAAACAGAATCAAAACATACTTATAAGTTTTCCCTGATACCAGAGGCTTGAACACAGTGCTGCAGACTTACTATAGCATCTAAGCCTTCATGAACTGAGCTACAGCCCTAAAAGTTCAGGGAAAAGACATCAGTAGATAATGGAATAGTCAGGAAAAATTTTGTGCAATATGAGGCACTTGATTCTGGTCTCAAAGAAGAGTTTGAATTTGGACAGTATTAACAAGCCTAGAAAACCTGTGACAAAGACCAATTTTTTGACCAGATGAGCATGGTAAGATTGGGAGCAGAGATGAGTTTAGATTGAGTGGAATAAATTGGGTCAGAATTTTATCGATTTGCAGGTAGTAAAAAATTATAGATTTTACATTCTAAAAGGTGGAATATATGGACTCTTTGGGAGATTTGTACAAATTATCTATAAACATTTCTTGCACAGACTTTGCAGTCAATGTTAAAGGGTCGTCTAGAATAAATTATTACAACCCAGCCTATAAAAGGACAATTATAGATATGTATGAATATGCACAGCTAAGCAAGAGGAGGCTTCCAGAAGAGGTGACACCTGAGCTTTGTCTCTAAAAATGATGTTTTAGAAAGATTCATCTGATAGTAACATGCATAACAGAAAAACTTGATGTCAGGTAGAAAAGATAACAAGCATTATGTAAAAGAGGTATTATGTGGACCTACCACATGCATCTAGTATGATCAGATTGCCAATTTATTTTAAGCATGATCAGTTAGTGGTCAGAAAGATAATTAATTCTAAAGAATTATACTTTCAGACTAATATTATATGTAAATAAGATGACTCTGTGACAATTAATTTACTTATACTGACCATGATGCAGGTAAGACCAGGGCTATGGGCTTACTTGCTCTGTTCTATGCCCATCACGAATTTTAGAACTCTTTCACAGAATGACAAACAGAAATGATGTGAAAACTTCCATAAAGTCCATGCCTATGATGGTCCACACTGAAAAAAATAAAACCCTTGATAACATTTATTCAATTAGGTATGGGCCAAGAGCATCATCACACAGAATTATATATAATACTCTAATCAATAAGGTTTACTCTGAGCTTTCCAGATAGAGGTGAATGTTGGATCATATCCACATAAGGTTATTTACTCATGCGTAGTCTCTCCGGCACTATCATGTATGTAATAATCTTTACTGCTTTTGCCTAATAATGACAGTGATAGTGGAAACAGTAATAAAGATAATAGTATATATTATGCCTCAAGTAATTTTGGAATTAGGTAGAGTATAAACAAATAGCTATAATTTATTTAGTATATAACACATTGGCATTATATGAATTTTCACATCGTATGAACTAGGAATTTTTATAAGCCTATATTACAGATGAATAAACTGAGTTTCATGCAGCTAGTGGGTACCTGAGCCACAGGATTAAAACCTGGGAATGATCACGAAGCCCACTGAATTGTCTACTATCCTATATTCCTCCTATATAAATATATAAATATATATTCCTCCTATATAAATACAATTTATGATTCAGAGGAACAGTTTAATTTTTGATGCTTTCTTGTTCCAGTTGCCTAAAATAAGTGTTTCAGTAGTTGCAAAAATGTAAAAGTGCAGATAGAGAAAACATACAAAGATTTGCCCATAGATGTGATTACAGCTCAAGCCTCTGCTGTTCCAATGGTTCCTTTGTGGCACCCACTGAAATTTAAATTTTAAATCATGAATCCAAACTCCAAAGTAGGAAAAATAGGAGTATTTGTTCTCACATCCAATCCCTTGAACAGCGTAAGAGGCATCCATGATCTTGTCTTCTGGGCTTCCTTACTACAGACTCTCAGCCTCCCTTTTTTCTTCCCCTGGGTGTAGCTCTAGACATCACAGTAAGAAGAGAGGGTGGAGTAAGACTTTTGTCATAATTCTCTCCACTGTCATCAAGACCAATATCTACTGTTGTCCAAACTGCAGTTACTCTCTCCTTGTGCATGCTCTTAAGGCGTCATGCCAAAGCAGGCAGAAGATCCTGGAAAAAATGGTATTTTCCTTTTGGTTGAACTACATGGACTCCAAGGTCCAACCCACCTCCAAAGATTCTACAGTTTTAAGCAAGTTAATAAAAGTGACCCAATACTATTGATGTTCAGGGAATTGGAAGAATCTGGAATTTGTCTTTCCTTAGCCTCTTGTTTTTTCCAGAAATTATCTTGCTGTCTGAAATTTCTGTCAATGACTTCAAACATTCACTATTAATTCATTTAAACAAAGGATAAACATCTAATATATGTCAGGTCCAGTATTAGGCAATGAGGATAAATGAGCCAGAGGAATTTGCTGCCTCAGGATTCCAGAGAGTATTTTCCGTGCCTGTGGCTTAGGGCCTAAACATTTTAGGAGGCTAAGGAAAGCAATCTGAAATTATATAACATGTTTTCTTTAACATTCTCCCCCCAAGTAGAATAGCTTCCGATGATGGGCAAGGCACCAAGGGGATGATGGATGACCAGGCATCAAAGTTTGCATTATCACCAAGAAAATACAAGTTTTCTGTTACATTCAGTAGCAATTTTCCAGGAGATAAGACTTGACTAGTGCAAATGTAAATTTAGATAAGAACACACCAAGGAAATCTCTCATCAGTACTGCCCTATTGAAAGGAGTTACGTGGTTTAGTTTTTCAGGTAGAACTCTTAGAGATCATGTTCATCCTGAGTTTTCCAGCAGTACTCAGAGAAATAAAACTAATTTTAACTTTGTTCTAAAGGTATTGCTTTGGATAGGCTTCCAGCTAGTTACCAAAAAAAAAAAAAAAAAAAAATGTTTATTGGTTCAATTTTCTGACTGATAGTAAAGGGATTCTAGTATCATCTGCCTGATAAGCATTGGCAGAACCAGTAGAAATTTTCTTCAGTCTGGAAAAGCTTTGGACCCAGAGATATAACATGATGTGTTTCTTCTTTTCATGGGTTTTATTTAAGTCAAACCAGGCTGACATAAAGAGTAATGCAACCCCGAGAGGAGAAAATAAGTTGTGGAATGGCTGGTGGCTGGGGTAAGTGCTGGGGAAGACGTATGGGCTTTCTGTGCTTGAGTGTTTGGAGCGTGGGCAGTGTCTAAGACTTCTTGCTTTATCGGGTTAGCTATTAGCGCTCCTATTAACGTTAGTCCCCCCGCCCCCATGCCTCATCAGCTGCCTCCCTGAAGTCACTCACACCCAAAGTAAGCAGACAGTATATTTTCAAAATGGGAGGTGTTGAGGAGTATTGCTGTGGTCTAGAGAGAAAATATGCTGTGAAATCCTGACAGCAAATAACTGGCTGCCACACGAGCAGCAGCAGCAGCAGCAGCAGCAACCTATGTTTCTCCTCCTCTTT